CTCTCTCTCTCTCTCTCTCTCTCTCTCTCTCTCTCTCTCTCTCTCTCTCTCTCTCTCTCTCTCTCTCCCCTCTTACTCTGGGCTGTCCTCCCGCCCAACAATGCTGCAGACTCTGACCACCCTAAGTGTGGTCTTTGGCCATCACCAAGTGAGTCCACCTGTTCCCACTGCTGTCCTTGTCATCTGGCAGCCCACAGCACCAGTGCCCTTTTTCCCCCCTTGGTGCAGCTCTGTCTACCCCCAAGCAGGACTGCTGCCTGTGGCTGCTGCTCCCCTTTCCCTTCATCAGTGCTCAGGGGCCTGGCCACTTGCACTTGCTTCAGAGCCGGTGCTGGCCGCCAGTGCCTCCAAATGTTTGAAATGGTGCAGCCTCCCCTCCTTTTGTCACTTTTTGGAGGCCGTGGCAGCCTGGCTACTACTGGGCTGACATCAGTCTGGTGAAACTTGCGGGATTCCCGACTGGCACCTGAGCCTTAGCTTCTTCAACTAACTGGGAGGCTGGGCCCGCGGGTTAGTTGGAGAGAATGTGTCGAGTCTTCCCCCCAACTACCTCACGTCAGCCACCTGGAATTATTTTCCCAGCCTGGCCTTCACCTAGGGCCAGGTTCTTTCTGCTTGAGCGGCCACTAGCGGATGCCACTGAGGCCTGAAGCCTTGCGGATGTGAACTAATGAATCATGTGCCCAATGTGCCTGTACACAGCTCACCCTCTATCTTGCAGCTACCAGCGCAAGAAGTGTCCATGGCAGGTTTTCATTGGGAAAAGAAAGCAGTAGTTGTGTTGGCGAAAGAAAGTGGAGATTGGCATACAGGCATTCTGTCAACTGCATAGGCGATATAGGTCCATGACAGGTCGTTGTTGGGAAAGGAAAGTAGAGGCCCGGGTCAAAAATTGGTGTACAGGCATTCTGTACACTGCATAGGTGATATCGGTCCAAGGCAGATATGTTGCCAATGGAGAAATCAGTGTCTCTGTTGTGTTGCAAATGGCGAAATCAGCATCTTGGCTGTCACATTTTTGAATGCCGAAGTTGATGCATATGTTTCTGCTTCCGCATGTAGTATATGTAAAATCTGGTCGTTTCAAAAGGGACTAGTGATTTTTTATTTTTTTTATTTTCAAAACAATTCCTTGTGGTCCTGGCTCCATATCCATTCTGGGGAGCATCTGTCCGGTTACTTTCCACAGGCAAGTTGAATCTTGGAATACATGGTGAACACTCTTACACTTCCTTCCGTCGGGCCGAAGGAACTCTGACCGGCATTGATTACTCCTGTTCGGGAGGATTGACTGTCAGCTTGCCCTGCCCTAGTTTTCCTCTCAGATACCCTGTTGGTTCTGTTGGATGGACTGCAAGTAACAAGCAAACTGGGAGAGTTGTCTTCCTTCTGAGACAATAGTCCCGATTTTGCCCTTCACTGGAGCGTGTTCCTTGCAGATGTTGGGATTAACCATTTCTTCCAGATCAGCTTGTTGTCCTTGACTGTTGCAATCTTGCCCTGTAGCAGCCAGTCTCTCATGAAGGCTCATCTCCTGGGTGCCAGTTTTTCTGGTTTTCCTTTCGTGGCTGTTACCACTCTCCTCTATCTGCATCGAATCTCTGTCTCCACCATCCTTAGAAGAAGGGTCCACATTTCTTCCTTGGTTGCTTCTGATCCCTCGATCGCCTTGGCACAGCTTCTTTTCCATGTGACCCATAGGGCCAGCTTTCTGAATATGTAGAACCAGACCTCCTCGCCCCCCTTGAGACTGTCAGGGATGTTAGTAAGGAGTAGGATATTCACGGGGGTAAAGGTGGTCGGTGGGGCTGAGAAGAGGAGGGTCCACAGGCTTCGGATTGTGCTCCAAATCCAGGCTGCCTCAGTGCCGTAGAGGAGGCAGTGGGGAATGTCTTCTGTCGCGTTGGCGTTGCAGAGAACACATAGTTCTGAGCTGTCGGGGTCTGTGTGCTTTCTCCTCTTGTGGAGCCACTTGTTAACGAGCGCAATGTGTGCTATTAGCCACTGCATGCTTCAAATTCTAGCTGGTGTGATGGTCAGGTACTTGGCCCACAGGATAGACATGGATTCAGTCGGTTGCAAATTCAGAATCCCTCTCCACTTTCCCTTCAGTATGGGGTCTGGATCTGTGGTTTGTAAGCCTAGATCATATCCAAACTTCACGTCGTATTCAAATATTGTTCTTGTTCTGCCAGACTTGCCCATCTTCCAGACCCATTCCTTTGGGTCAAATTCGAGATCTGCAATGCTGAGGTCTGGTTGGAGTACCCTCCACGGTTTGGATTTCGAGACCCTCACTTTTCTTAGTGGGAAAGAGTCTAGGATCTCGAACTGAGGGTTGTTGTTGAGAATGCCTGTTTCCTGTGGGTTGTGCTGCAATGGGGTAAGTGAAGAATTTAGATCTGTAACCGGTCGTTGTGATTCAGGACATGAAGCGGTAGGCCCTAGCATGGAGAGGTTGGGATATAGAAATTTCCCTGTCGCCCGGTTTCCACGAGAAGTCTTCCTTTAATAAGGTGGTCCATTGGATAGGAATGCTACGTTGGATTTGTGTTAGGTTGGTGGCCAGCGAGTGACATCCTTTTAGTCTGGTGCGCAGTTCTTGTTCGGTGATCCAGTCGTACTTCTCTTGTGACCGAATGTGCTTTATTTGCCACACCCCTTTCTCCACCCAGGATAACCATCGCCGGTCCTTGGCCCGTAGGGACCAGGGTAAGCCGTCTGGATCCAGGGGTTGCAGAAGAGAGGTTGTCTTTAAGCCTCTTCTTTGTTTGCTGGTGCGCTCTGTTTGCTTGGCATCATGTGCCCCCAGGCTTTTAAGGTGGGGGTCCAGTACGGGATTGGTGTGGAAAAGGCCTGAGTGTGTGGCTTGGTCTGGGCTCTTCTGTGCGATCTTCCAGTTTTGATCGTCCATCCCTTCGCCATTATCCAGAAGAGCCCTGACATGTTGGGAGGGTTGAATATCAGTGCTAGATTCCTTATGCTGTCCAAGGCCATGCTGGTCCATGGTAGGTGCTGTCTGATAAGGATCTTGATGATCCATTTCTATCTGTAGGGCTATAGACTCCTGTATGGGGTCTATTACGCGTAAGCCGCCCTCCTGTGGTTTTCTGATGATATAATTTCAGGCTACCCTGTTGATACAGGTGGATTTGTTGGGGTCCCCAGTCTAAAGGTAGAATCTCGCCCTAGCCTTTACTGTTTTGAGGTCGTCGTCAGGGGGGGACCATATTGACACCACAGTGTAGAGAAGACAGCCGTGTTTATGATTAAAGCTCTGTCGATCAAAGAGGCCAGTGCGTTTTTACGTGGCGCCAGGTTTTTTCCCATCCCTGGCCACACTCCTTTGTTTACCATGATGCCAAGATATTTGAGTGCTTGATCGCCTGTAGACCAGGACAAGGGTGTGGTCGTGTTGTCCGGTTGGGGGGGAGTGCCGCTTGAGAGCCACCAGCCTTCAGTTTTGCCCCAGTTAACCTTCATTTCGGATGCTAGACAAAAGGCTTCCATTGCTCTAATGAGGGCCTGGAAGGAGCTATTGCTATTGTTTGCTCGGATGAGCACCGTGAGATCGTCGACGAACATCAAAGCAGTGGGTTAGTGGAAGGCGTGCATAGGGTTGAAGTTCCTTTCTGTGAGAAAGTCTATAGAGGGGTCCTTACACAGGAAAGATGCTATGGCTTCCATGATAAAGAGGAAGATGGGGGAGCCAGGGGGTCACCTTGTCATACAGATCTCGAAATTGGATATGTATCTGACATTATTTTGTTGATCTGCAGTCGGCCTGTTGCGTTGGTGTATAGGACTCTGAGTCTTTGACCCATTCTTTGATGTTGGGGCCTACCCCCATTTCTTTTATGCATGCGTGAAGGAAATCCCAGTTGACTTGATCATACGCCTTTTTGAAGTTGAAGAATAGGATAGCTGCCTTCATCCTTTTTTCGGTGATCTTCTTTGCTGCTTCGGTTAGTGTCATCACGTTGTCTAATATATATCTGCCGGGAATGAATCCTGCTTGATCGATGTGGAAGCATTGGTCGGTCAGTTTTATGATTCTGTTGGCGAGTGCTTTTGCGAGGATTTTGTACGCCGTTGTGAGGAGTGAGATAGGTCTGTAATTTTGTAGATCCTCTTCGTTGCCCTTCTTGTGCAGCATTGATACCACGCTGCTACTTAGCTCCTGGCCTAGTCCTCCCTTTATTCTGCTGTTGCTAAAGAACTCAAGCAGGTCGGCTCCAAGCATTGGCCAGAAGTGCAGCCATAATTCTTTCGATAGGCCGTTGATACCTGGTGATTTGTCGTTGCCCACTTAGGCCAGTGCTGTTTGTAGTTTGGTCTGGGTGATTGGCCTATCCAAGTCCTTGGCGTGGGATGATGAGATCGTTATTTTCACGTAGGACATCATGTGTTGGCGGGTTGAGAGATTGGCTGCGGTTGGGGGTGTAGGTGTCTTATATTGATAGAGGTCTGCGGATAACGCTCTCGCTATCCCCACCATTTCAGCACCGTTATACTTGACCTTACCTTGGTCGGCCAGGTCCACTAATCCCTCAATCATGTTGTTCCTCGCGTTGGATTTTATCTTGGAGAAGAAGAATTTTGTCATGGATTAGTTGAGTGCAAAGTCTGTCATTTGGGCTCGTATTTGGAGTCCTCTGAGTTCCCACCTTCTCCATTCGTTTATTTCTTCTTTGGTTGATGAGAGCAGTAGGATTTTGTTTTTGAGGGAAGGAGTGTCTTCGACAGCTACACAGTGAGCCGGAGGGGTGGGAAGCTAGATCTGAAGGAAGGAAGGTAGTAAGGGGATTCTCAACAGAAAGGGTTGTTTGTTAGGGTAAGTAGGTTAGAAGGACGATGCTGGGACGACACAGGCCGGTGCTGGAGCCTCTGCTTGTAACCCAGGGGGAGCTTGAGGCCTGGGAAGTTATGCCGAGGGTGGAAGGCATAACCAGATCGTCCGACGTAGTTGGTGCCGGGGTTTTGACCCTGTAACCTGTTTAGGGCCTCGCCGCTAAGGGAATTGTCGAGGGAGGAATGCATTTCCTGTCCATCAGAGCTAGGTTGATCGGTACTGGGGAGGGTTGTGTTGCCCTGTTACCCTAGCAAAAGGGGGTATGAGATCAAGTGAGTTTTGGTACGAGGACTGAAAGCTTGGACCGACGCCCCATCTGTTGTAAGGGGGAATCTAGGATAGTAGGCAKATTTAGTCTTGCCCCCCCACGCCCTTGTATTTTTCTAAAGGTTTTCGAATGTCCCAAAAAGAGTTGGGTGCTTAGTGGTCCWAGGAATGTTTTTTAGGACTCTGGGATCCCTACTAACTCGTCTTGGGTGGCTTCAATGCTGTTATACTCAGTGATCTGCGGTTGTTCGATGCCAGAACGAYGYTGACCGGTGCTGGGGTGTTGCCCTGTAACCTGCGATGCAGGAGCGTGAGGTCTGGTAGAGAGATCTGGGGATGTCTTGGGGTGGGCTTTCCACGGGACAACCAAGGGTTGCTGCCGGGACGATGCTGGTCGGAGCTGGGGTGAGTCGCGCTGCCCTGTAACCCAGCAGAAAGTGGGGGTGTGAGACCTAGAAGAGATCGGCAGGGAGTACGACAGTTTTGGAGAACGTTGGAAGGGTTTGGGTGGGATTCCGAGGTTTTTGGAATAATCGTAGGACCTCTGTGGCCTATTCTCATGCTTCTGGAACGACGGTAAGAGTTCTTAGGTATTTCAAAGAGAAGATAAGGTGAGTGGGAGAGGATGGTGGGTTACCACGCGTTCTACCAGTGAGGGGGCTAGCTGGTAGGATGGGAGTATGGCATAGCAGCAGCAGAGATGGTGGCTCCGCTGCAGTCAGTCTTGCCGGAGTGAGGTATAGCGGATTGATGGGGGGTTTTCTGAGTCGTTTCTGAATTTCGCTTAATCATGAAGATTGTCCTAGACATGTCTGAAGTAGCTCCATTTTTTTCGAGCCAAAGCCGGGTAATGGCCCCGGTATCTCAATTTCCAAAATTCCATCCTTAGGCCAATTAGATTTTTCGAGTAGTTCCTTGTCTCATTTTCATGAATTCTCTGTTGAAGTTTTTTGAGTGTACTCGTTATGGGATGCTGGGCCCGGTTACCAGTTTGTGCCAATTTGTGAGGATAAGGTTGTATCTATGGGACGCTGGACCCGGTTTCCAGCAGGTGCTGCTCCCCACCAATAGATGGAGCTTTTTTCCAAAAAAAAAAAAAAAAAAAAAAAAAAAAACAGAGAGAGCAGTGCTTGATAGAAGTTGTTGGTGAGGTTGATAGCCAAGTTGTCCTCCACGATTGTGATGGCTATTTGGAGCTCTTCTCTTCTGATTTTTCGTTCTCCCGCTATGCTTCGTGATTCTGCTGATACAGTTCGAGTCAGGTCAGCATAGCCATCGATGAACCATTGGTGAATATTAGAGTGCCTGGTCTCCTGTTGTCTCAGGAGAAACCCGTTCCACTTGATTGCTTCGGACAGTCGGTCGGTCGACAGGAGGGAGTTGTTAAATCTGAAGAACCCCTGCCCTCTGAGTTGAAATTGAGGAGTTGTGTGGGTTTTGTGATCCAGCCCCTTACAGGCGGCTGATGGTAGGATGTCGCCCTCTTTGATTGCGCCCTGGAGGCATAACTACGCCGGACCGGACCGCGGACCCCGGACCTCTCGGGCTCATCTGGACTTCCGGAAAACCGTAACATTTTTGAATATCTGGACGGGTTCGTATCCCCTGTCCGGATTCATGTCCGGATCCATATATTTTCCGGAAACAAACAAACAAACCGTGTGCATGCTTATATTACCTGAGTGACCAGTGGGCAGTGTGCTGTCACTGAGTCAGCGCAGTGTGCACAATCCACACAGAATCACAGATGCACAACTTGGACTGTGCAGACTGCACATTGCACACTCAACAAATTGGACTTTGGAGCTCGAACTTTGAACAGAAATCACAAGAATCAACAGACTGCAGCTAGAAATCGGTGCCTTTCAAGGGCATCTGGGAAGTGGAAGTAGTAAGTACGGACCTTGGAAACACAGATGCGCAACAAACAACTTTTTTTTTATGAAAGACGCGTTTTGATTCTTTGGAAGAAGTTAGAGCTGAAATATAATATTGAAATATCTTTCATTTTTGCAAGGGTTTACCCCTCGGCTAAGGCCTTGCAGCAGGCGCGTGCCCGCCTTAAGTAAAGGCGGGCCCCCTGACAATTTTTGCAAATATTGGTGGGCGCCAGACAGTTGCCAGGCGCCAGTTGGTTACATCCGGCTTGCTCGAGAGAATCCAAAATTCTTGTGAGCCTTCCAGCAATGTGGTCGAAGCAGGGGACACCGCACGTTTGTGCCTGGGCGGTTGGGCATGTGTTACATGCTGCGCCTGCAACGGGCTGCACGGGCCATTTCCAGGCCAGTGACGTTTTCAGGCCAAAAGCCTGAAAACAAGGGCCTACAGGCCCTGTGTCGTTTCAGCCTGAAAGCCTGAAAACAAGGGCCTACAGGCCCTGTGTCGTTTCAGGCTAAATCAGGGCCTTTCCGGCCCTGAGTGTTTTCAGCCTGAAACTGAGGGCCATTTCCGGGTCCTCATGAGTTCGGCCTGCCCCGAAACTCAGGCACCAAACCAGGGTTTTAGCTCAGGCCATTTTTGGCCTATTTTCAAGACAACATTCATTTGAGCTTCAACCCCAGGGTCTCGCACGTTTTGGCATTGGCAAGAGCAGCCACCTGGACGGGCCAGCACTATAAAGGACTGGCCCGCCCTGCAGGCTGCAGGTAGTTCCTAGGTACTTCCCAGGCACTTCACGTGCAGTTCAGGAGGCAGGAGGTAGTCTTTAGGATTTGGCAGCAGCACTCTGGAGGAGCGCTGCAGGAGTAATAGTAGCATTAGCAGTAGTCTTCAGCGCTGGCGCTAGTAGCGTTAGCTGTCATCTTCAGCACTGGGCGCCATAACCAGGGTAGTACTATAGAGAGAGGGATTGGGTGGAGGCCAGAGGGACTTACCTGCAGCGCCATCGCTCCAGCTTCGTCTTCAAGGTACCTGCAGCACAGCGCCACCTTCACAGGTTAGTACCTGGCA